GGATACAAGTGGGGCTGGGGCTGGCTGTGGCCCCTGGGGGGGGGGGACTGTGGCCACAGGGGGGGGCAGCAAAACATATATTCATGTATTCATGAAACTTATTTAGAATTCTTATATTATTATGATAGAGTCTTCTAAATTGCTTTAACACTGTAGATATATCAATAAAACACTGCCCGACTAGTCACTGTCTCTGTCTCTCTCTCTCTCTCTAGTGGTCTTTAACTGTGGAGGAACATGGATTTTGGGGTATTTTACAGAGTGACAGGGATTTTTTTATCAGGGATTTTTCAGTTTTCACATAAGGAACACCAGAATTCCTGCTCAGGAGGCAAGTGAAAGGACCCTTCTTGCTCAGAGCTGGCTCCTTGGACCCAGCTGGCTGTGGCTGACTTCCTGATGGGCAGGCTTGCCCAGAGGGGCAGATGCCTCTGCTGGCTGTGCAGTCCCCATCTGGGTCTGGCAGGTATGCAGCAGGTCATAGCCAGGCAGCAGCCCCCACTGCCAAATTGCTGTAGTGGGTAGAGGGTGCAGGGAACTCTCAGGGCTGCTTCAGCAGTCCAGCTGATACCAGGGGTATTGTCCCTAGGTACCAATTGGCCAGGCCTCAGAAGCTCCTGAGAGTGAGTAGCCCTGAGCTACTTGCCAGGGTGGCTTTTTGTATTGATGAGGCCAGGACAGGGCATCTTTTTATACTGCTGGGGACAGCCCAGGTGTTGGCCCCAGGCTTTAGCTCTCTCTCGCTGCAGATCCAGGAGGAGCCAAGCAGAGTTATTTTGCCCCAAGTGGCACAATTTGCCCCACACCAAAGTGCCTGGCCGGTCATGTGCGCTGAGGCAAAAGGCCCCAGCTCAAATTTGCACTGCTTCTATTTGAGCTGCTGCAAGCACATGTGCTTGCATGTGTAGACGTGCCCTACTACTGCTAAGCATGTGCTTATGTATTCACTCAAGTTGATATCCTGTCCTGAATTATGGGTATTTTTTTGCAAACAAAATACTTTTATCTAAAGTTGTTGGGAGTTCTTAACTTCATACATTTATTGTTGTGAACTTCTCTAAGACATGACAATGCAGAAAAAAGCCAAGAAGCACAGAACATGACATTGAGCATTCTTTAGCACACTTATCTTTAACCATGTGCATATTTTCAAAAAAATTCAAGGATTTTAGTCCTTCAGGAAAATTAGCCAGTCAGGTTAAGGGTCAGTTTACTGAGTTCACTGGTCCTATCACTTTTTAAATAAGAGTTCACTTATTAAATAAGAGTTCATTTCCACAATGTATTACTTTCCAAATATTAAATTATCTATTGTAGATTTAGTTGTTTTCTGAAACAGCCAAAATCTGGACTTGCTTAGGTCAACTGCAAAAGCCCTGGAGTAAAACTAGCTCCTATGCTTTTTCATTCAAAACTAATATAATGTATACAGAATTGTAGATAACACTTTAGGAATGAATGGAAACATTGTGTTTGTAATTCAGCGAGTACAGAACTATAAATAAGAGATTTTGCCATCCCTGTGTTGGTTTTGTATGCTTCTAAATTACACAACTCAAATAGATTCACACGTACCTTTGTGAATCTGGCCCTAAAATAATAAATGAGTAAGATTGTCAGAATTAAATTAATTATGGAAAATAAAAGAGTAGTTGTGCCCAGTCTTGATCTGACAATGCAGGGCAGTATCTGGGACTAAGGATTCTCATCTCCTTTCTCCCCCTCTTACTTGTCCACCTAAGAACTACCTGGCTTGTAGCTCTGGACAAGCAGGAGCTGGACATCTGAAGTGATTCTTCTCTTCAATTTGGTACAAGTGTAAATAAAGACAAGCAGTGATAATACTTCACCCCTGTGCTGTCCAACAGAATTGTTTATTTGCATGGTACAGTATGGTTTGAAGTACTCCTTGTGCCTTTGAAATGTTCCAAACAGTGAAGCTGCAGACATTTCTGGCAGAACAATCACTTTAAAAATGACTCTCAAAAAAAGAAAAGGAACATCTTTGGAGTGCTTCATTTTGAAGTGCTTCATGAAATGTCTGTACCCTCCAGTGGTCCTCTAGCATCCCACAGTGCTTTGTTCCCCATCCCTACTGCTTCTTGTCTCCCCTGGGCTGCAGAGTACCACTGCTATGTGCTTTCTTAGCCATTTTGAAGTGCCCCAGAGAGGGGCCTGGGGGGAAGAGGTGGCAGGGAGAGGGTTGGAGTGCACAGCCTTTGCAGACCAGCATGTGCTGAAGCATGTCAAATTTGTAGTTCTGGAATTTGGAGCACTTCAAATGCATGTCTATCCATACCGTATGTTTACAAGACTTAAAGGGATATGCAGCAAGGAGAGGAAAAATTAACTGCAGTGGTAGAGCTCTGAGGAAAATTGTTCCTTCTTGAGATATGTTTCATGTTGCTATTCTTAAGGATATCGTACCTATGCATTGCTGCTTACTTCAGACCCTATACCAGAGTTTGGTTAGGTATGACTTATTCTTAATACATTCATGTTCACTATTGCCTGTCACCTTGTTATACTCTAGTTGCTTGAAATGTCTGAAAATATTTCAATATCTTTCCAGGTATGAAAATGGGATAGATTAATCTGTAATTCTTGGTGTCCTAATTTTTCTTTTTTGATCTTGTGGGGTCTGTGTATATATCTATCTATGATCTCCATGGGCACGTCCAGATAAGTCTGCATGTGCCTCTTGCAGTGTCTCAAACCCCTTTGAGACACTGCAAGAGGCACATGCGGGAACAAAAAAAAGTTTCCCCCACTGCAAATTTGCAGTGGGGGAGCAAAATTAGACCCCTGGATATCCAGGGGTCAAAGAATACCCTGGGGGGAAAAAATGGGTCCCAGACTGTGCCCTGAGGCAACCAGAGGCTTGGTCCTCCACAGAGATGCTTTGGCAGGCTACCAGAGCATCTCTGTGGTTGGCCCTTTCCCTGTTCCTGAAGTACACGTGCTTGCATGTGTGGATGTGCCCCATGTGTTTTCAAGGATAAAAACTTAAGACTGCAATGATTTCAGCCATTTCCTTGCATTTTCTAGGTTGAGTTTCTTTAAGCCCTGCTGGTTTGAAAACATCTAATGATCTAAGTCAGTGGTCTCCAAACTTTTTTGATTGCACACCCCTATCAGTAAAAAAATTTTTGAGCACGCACCCCCAATATATGTATCTTTATATAAATATAAATAGAAGTTCTAATATTTTCTTCCCACACCCTAATGGATCATCTTGTGCACCCCACTTTGGAAACCACTGATCTAAGTAACTGCTAACTTGTAAGTAATCTGAGTAATCTTTAACTTGTTCTTTTCCTACACTAGGGTATCTGTCCCCCTGTCTTCACTGCTAGCAGTGATTGTCACCTGATAGTTGACCTTTTTATGAAGACTGGAATAAAGAAGGTATTAAACATTTCAGCCTTCTCTAGATTGTCCTTTGTTAGTTTTCCATTCAGTACAGGTTCTACATTTTCCTTGGTTTTATTCTTTCTTCAAATGTATTGAATATGAAATCAATTATAGGTTTGGAAGGGACTTAAAAGGTTAGCTAATTCAACCCTTGCACATATGTGAGAAGTGTCATTTCTAAGCAATCCCAGATAGGTGCATGTCCAGCTTCTTGAAAATATCCAGTGAAGGATATGTTGAAACTTTTCCAGACAATTTGTTTCATTGTCCTACTTTTCTTAGAGCTTTTTTTTTTAAAGATTTAATCTAAATTTGCTTCATTGAAGTTTCAGTCTATTGCCTCAATTTGTCTTGGCTTTCCTTGACTGTTGAGCCTTTCCAAGTATTTTTGTTAAACAAGCAAATACATTTTTCAACTTTTTATGAGAATTTATAGTTGTAATTTTAACACATTTAAATATTTTCAATAATGATATGAGTTGTATATTGTTATTTTGTTATCTTATAGCATTCTTTCTTTTTCTTCTTGTTTTTCCACCATATTTCACTATCTTAATTTATGCTACAGCTGGATATTTTATTATGGCAGATTTCAAACAATAAATCACATGTAGTTAGGTAATAACGTGGGAAAATACTATTTATAGTGTCATAATTAAATGAGTGTGGTTATAAATACAAAAAGTGATTGCAAAAGAATCACTGTTAAGGGGTCAGAAGTAGCCCTAAACTGCTGTCATTGTCATCTTCCACAGATTCATCTAAGTATTTCGATGTTTATTGAAGCATGGGCTATCAGTTTACAAGGTAATTGTGTCCAAAACAAAGTGTATGTAGTAACACATTCACAGCAATTATGTACCCAATCCCCACCCGCAATCCTCATCAGTTTTTAATTCCATTAAAACCTTGGTCTAGAGAGATATTATAATAGGAAGATATTTAACATAAAAGGAAAAGAAGTGTCCAGGCCTCCAGTCCTGGAAGAGCTTGTGCACATACTTAACTTTCTTTTGAGTTCAGAAATAATTTTGATAGTTTGAATTTTGCGGGGTACAAAACTAATGCAGAAAACCCTATAACAAATTCTGTGATCATTAATAATTTCTTTTTGTAGCTTGTGTGGCTTGAGGCAAAGGGTCAGAATTTCACACAGATCTGTTTAAGTCGATGGCAAAACTCCTGTGGACTTCAGTGGGGCTGGAATTTCACTCTTGAAAATTAGCAATCCTGTGGTCTCTGGTTTTTCAATACAAAATGCATATTTTTTCTTTCGAAGTTGGGGCACAAAATTATAATTCAAACAGTGATAGTTTTAGGCCCTAATCTAGCAAAGCACCTAAGTATGTTTTTAAAATGTAGCATATATATTACTCTTGGCAGAATTTAGACCTATCATGACAGTCAGATTTTATTTGGTATCCTGGATGCTTTTCCATTGCAGGCAGATCTCACAGCTGAATGTGTTTATGTGACTTGGAGAACTACAAATCCCAGGGACCACTGCAGTTATAAGACCTGTGCAACCATACTGTCATCATCTAAAGAACCAATGAAAGCAGGGGAATTCAGGAGTCTCATATCACATTTCACAGTATTAAAAAGCGTAGCACACAGCGTAGACCTGACTATCAATAGCACTTTTGCCAGTGTTACCTTTAAGCAAGTGTGTGAGATCTCTAGCGGAAGTTTCTATTTTACACTTGTTGAGTCTCAGCTGTTGAAGAAAACGCTGTTTGCTTAGTCCAAATGGATGTGATTTTGAACTACAGACTAGAGGACATGGAAGATTATTACAGTTTGCTAGGATGTAGTGAACTATCAACGGTAAGACTGTCCTTTTGGCTGTTTACCATGTCAATAATAATTTTGGGTTTTGTGTGTAGGGAGATTTTGAAATTAATTTTAATCTGCATAGATACAAATACTTAGAATGCAATGTGTACCTCCTTTCTTGCCAAGCTATTTTACCTGTTAATACCTTTTCATGTGTTAATCTTAGCAACTGATTTGACCATACTAAAAATTGGGAACATAGCTCATATTAAAGATGCTCTAAAGTTAAAAATAGTGTTTTAGTTCATTAGTTAGTTCAATATGTGATCTTAATATGCATTTTTAAAAACTTGTAAAGTGGTTATTGTCAACTGTCAAGTTATACAAGTATAATAATATTCTTAAAAATGTAGATATGGACCATGCAACTAACATAACAAGTGAGAAAATGTTCTTATCTTCATCAATAAGTAGCAATGCACTTCCATTTCTAAGAGAATTTTATATCACATTTTAGAAAAATGTATCCATTGCTTGGGAGAAAAAAAAAAGAGAAACCCTTTTTTTACAGCATGATACTGTGACTATTAAATATCGACTTTCAAGATTTTTTAGTAGCAGCTACGTGTCTGAACATGCTGTTGAATGATATGTACCAAAACAAGGGTTTCACTACTTCCTAGAGGTATCTATATTAGAGTACTTAATAATTCAAATTCAGTGACAGGTTGAAATTTTAAAAGCATCATTTATGCTGGTGACAGAAGGATAGGGGCTAGGCATTTTTTTTCTTTCCAATATTTCTCCTATAATTAATCTGATAAATATGCATACATTATTTGTTTAGTCAATAAAATTACATGCTCTTGTCTCTATTAATAAAAAAAATTTGGAGATTCTTGATGCACACCAAACTATATTTAATACATTATTAGAAGAAATATAGAATTCTTAACCTGTTATAGAAAGCAATTTTAAATATTTTCTGCTGTGATTTCTTATAAAACATCCCAGAAGAGGGCAGTACTAAAGTTTGTTATTTTTACATTTTTAGCAAGCAAAAAGGATAAACAAAATAAATCTTTTTAAAAATCTTGGCAAGAAATGTATATTCTAAGCACATATTATGCTCTGTGTTTTAAATTACTTTGAAGTGGAAAACAAAATGTAGTAATTGCTTGTTTGATTCCAAAAAGAAATCTGTAAAATATTATGCATAGAAGTAACAGATGTTCTTAAATGATTGTGCATTGTGAGTATGAATTGCACATGTGAGATGATGATTTTGCTGAGTACTGCAATTACTTTCTCATACAAAAAACATTTAATATATTTATAAAACACATTAGAATTTTTTCAACATTTCTAGTATATTTACATATTTCAAAATTGTCACCTTTTATACAGTTTAAATATTTTTAGCAGCATACATATCTGGGCTCCCATTTTTACACATATGCAGAAACAAGCCTACTCATGCAGCTCCCAGTATGACACTTGATCCTGCAAGATGTTGGTTACTCTGGTCCTAATCAAGCAAACATTTAAGCATTTGATTAACTTTATGGATGAGAAGTCCCATTGACTTCAGTGGAACTGAATGCTCTACTGGATTGGGATTAAAGTATTTAGCCTCCTGTAGGATCAAATCTATAAAAAGTAGAGAAATAGTATATGACACCATTTCTGACAGAGCCCATGGTGTTTGATATATTTGCAGGTTTGAGAGAGGGGGGGATAGTCCAATCTATAGCTTTCTACCAAAGGGGATGTTATTTCTGCATAGAGTTATTGGATTCCTTTCTTGGTAAACTTTTGGTATATTTTTTTTAAATTATTTTTTTTTATTAGTGGCTTTCATGGTATTCATGTGCATGTTATATGAACAGTTGAAAATAATTCAATGGCATTTTAAAAATACAATCTGTTGATGTAAATAGCTTAATTTGAAAACCCTTTGTACAGATATTCTTTGGTAACAAAAATATCTTTGTCAAGCACCAAGTTCCAGCAATATGTCTGTAATAAATATATATTTAGGCTTCTTTACATGTGGATTCATATAAAGAAAAAATGAGGGCAGCAATATGAAGTGTAACATTTTTTAAAGTACCATTGTTATCTGTGTGGGTTTTTCAGGCATCTGGGATATCAAAGTCCCCACTCGGCTTTCTCACTTTTAAATTTCTGTGTGTGCTGCCTGGCTGAATGGCACACCTGATATTTAAAGCCTGCAGGCCATGAACCAGTGTGGGGAAAACTTCCTTGGCCTTGATTCCAGCCCTCTCCCCCTCAGGGGTTTGCAATCCCCCCACCCTTGCTGCCCAGGTGGATAGCAGGGGCCACATGTAAAGCCCTGCTGCCCAGGAACTAGGCTTGTGGACAGCTTCCCAAAGTCTTATTTCTGATCCCCTGGTTTTGCAAATCCATCCCTGCTGCTCAGTTGGGACTCTGATATGAAAGTGGGCACAGGACTTATACTGCTGCTTCTTCATAGTACCTAATGCAGAGTAGACTAAGCAATACCACAATCTCTGTGTTCATTCTGCACAGTGGGGACTCCAGTATATGAGGAGCTGGTGGATGCTCCTTCCCTTCCCTGCCTGTCTACAGGAGGGGCAAGAACAGCCTACTCCAGACTGAGGTGATCCTGGTCTTTGAAAAGCATGGGTGTATTCCCCAGAGCTCAACTCCTCTTGGTCCCCAGGAGGACTTAAGCCATGGGGAGGTGTTCATCCATTCTCTTGGGAGAAACTCTTTCTCCCAGAAGCCTTTTCTACCTGCTTGGAGTTGGGCTATTTTTCTCCTAGAACCACCATTTTTTATTCAGGAGAAAGTGTGTAAACACTTGTTCATTTGTGATTTCACAAGTAATGCCGTACTTGCATGTGGCCTGTGTGTGTGTGTGTGTGTGTGTGTGGTGGTGGTGGTGGTGGTAGTGGGGAAGGGTGTAACGAGTCTGGTCCTGGAGTGATGAGGTCTCTTGCCCGATTATCCTCTGGCTTCTAACTCTTTACCCACTAGCTGCTAATGGTCCACCCCCACTGTTATCTTGCCTGTTGTCTTTGATGTTGCAATTTCATGGGGAAGCTGCCCCAGGAGGCAGATATGGGTTCTGGGCTAGGGTCTTTTCTGAGCTGACACCTTTTCTGCCCTTGGCCCACTTTAATTTAGTTGGGTTCCTCTACCCAAGGTCCACTGTACTAGGACTCTGGTCTCTCGGGACTGAGCTCCCATCGTGTCCTCATGGGCTCTGGGCCTGTGCCCCTCTCAGTCTTTGCTACCAGGCACTCAGTCCCCTGGCATGCAACAATCATCCTTATGAAATATTTGGGCTTCTGTTCCATGCAGCCCACTGTGTCCCTGACCCTGGCAGGTCTCTGTGTTGGGTACCCTTATAGCACTCTTGTGACTTCCAGTCTACCCCTTGTAGTCACACTCAGTCCACACCCAGGCTTCCGATATAAAAGTAAATCAAAACATGAGCCCCTGCTCCCAAACATAAAAGTTTTTGATCAGGGTTAACCTCACCCTATGGTAGTCCCAACACAGAGGCTTAAAGCACTTATCTCTTGCAGCTTGAAGTGCAGTTTCTTCCACCCTTCTGTCTCCATTTGCAGGTAGCCCAAACTGGCTTCTCCCCTGGAGCTGTCTCCTGTAGATGCTATGGCCAGATTGCCTCTTCTGGGCCAGGCCCTGGCGTTATGATCCTATCCTTGGGTCAGCTGACCCTCCACTTCCATCCCAATCACTGCCTGTACCTGGAGCAGGCAACCCTTTTCTTTAAGGCCCCCTTTGCCATTATGGGTGCATCCACACATGCAAGCACATGTGCTCGCAGCAGCTCAAATAGAAGCAGTGCAAATTTGAGCCGGGGCTTTTTGCTTCAGTGAATGTGCTTGAACATGCACTTTGGTGTGGAGCAAATTGTGCCACCTGGGGCAAAAACCCTACCTGGCTCCTCCCGGATCTGCAGCCAGGGGGAGCTAGAGCCCAGGGCCAGCACCTGTGTTGTCCCCAGCAGGATAAAAAGACTCCCTGTCCTGGACTCAGCAGTGTAAAAAGCTGCCCTGGCAAGTAGCTCAGGGCTACTCGCTCTCAGGAGCTTCTGGGGCCTGGCCAATTGGTACCTAGGGACATTACCCCTGGTATCAGCTGGACTGCTGAAGTAGCCCTGAGAGTTCCCTGCACCCTCTACCCACTGCATCAGTCTGGCAGTGGGGGCTGCTGCCTGGCTGTGACCTGCTGTGCACCTGCC